AGTCTCCTGCCTCAGCCTCCCAAGTAGCTGGGACTACAGGTGCCCGCCACAACACCTGGCCATTTTTTGGTTGCAGCCATCATTGTTTTTTGGCGGGCCCGGGCTGGGGATTCAAACCCGCCACCTTAGGTGTATGTGGCTGGCGCCTTAGCCGCTTGAGCCACAGGCGCCAAGCCTAAATTTTTTCTTTTTGAGACAAGATCTTACTCTGTCACCAAGGCTGGAGTGGTGCAGTGGTATGATCATAGCTCACCGTAGCCTTGAACTCCTGACTTCAAACTATCCTCTTGCCTGCCTGATATCTCATTTCTATCAATCATTTATTATTGACCCCAGTATAAAAATAACTCTATAAGGCCAAACTTCTCCTAGGTAGGACTGTGGCCTTTGGCATTGTTTGCACTATGATATAATGAGGCCTCAGTGCCCATGTGGCACCTCCCAACAGGAGAAAACCCAGCTGGAATGTTTTCTTGTTATTTCTCTATGTTTAAAAGACAGTCAGGGGATAGTTCTTTTTTCTTTCTTTCTTTCTTTTTTCTTTTTTACTTTAGCCAGGGGGTTCTTTGTTTTTATTTATTTTTTTTTAAATGATAGCTGTGTACATTAATGCAATCATGGGGTACAGTGTGGTGTTTACATATACAATTTGAAATATTTTCATCAAACTGGTTATCATAGCCTTTATGTCATTTTATTAGTTATTGTGTTAAGACAATTATATTCTACTCTTAGAAAGGTTCACTTGTACCCTTGTAAGGTAAACCATAGAAGTGATCCCTCCAATCACCCTCCTGCCACCCGTCACCCCCTCCCCTCCCTTTCCCCCCTCCCCATATTCTTAGGCTATAATTAGGTTATATGAAAGCCATAAATTAGTTTCATAATAGGGCTGTGTACATTGGATACTTTTTCTTCCATTCTTTTGATACTTTGCTAAGAAGAACATTTTCCAGCTTTTTTTTTTTTTTTATAGAGACAGAGTCTCACTTTATCTCCCTTGGTACAGTGCTATAGCGTTACAACTGACAGCAACCTCTAACTCCTGGGCTTAGGCAATTCTCTTGCCTCAGCCTCCCGAGTAGCTGGGACTACAGGCTTTTGCCACAATGCCCAGCTGTTTTTGTGCTGCAGTTTGGCCAAGGCTGGGTTTGAACCTGCTGCCCCAGGGGATAGTTCGTATTTGTTTTTTCTTTTTTTCTTTTTTTGAGACGGAGCCTCAAGCTATCCCCCTGGGCAGAGTGCCATGGCATCATGCTCACAGCAACCTCCAACTCCTGGGCTCAAGTGAGTCTCCTGCCTCCGCCTCCCAAGTAGCTGGG